CTCAGATTGCGTTTCCCCTTTGATCGTCAAGGAGTTAAACGCAATAGCGTTAAAGAAACGGAAAAAAAAAAAAAAAAAAAATACAGTGTGTTATTCATTTGAACATTGACATGCTAGGTGTTATTTTTCTTTTTTCCTTCTTTTATCAATTTGTACAACAGTGGAAGCAAAATTAATAGAAAACGTAACAACAATAAGGGTCCATAATACATAATCGCGAGGAATAATTAAAGGAGGGTCAGATATTTTTTGGTGATAAATTTGGAACAGGCCAAACAATCCACATAAACATGAGGAAAAACCCGTCAAAAAAAAAAAAAAAATTAAAAAAGAAGAGTACGGTATTTATATATTATTACGTTGCGGATAATAGTGATACGTAATTTAAAAAAAACAGAAAAGCACAATTAGAGCGATACTGAAGCACAACGAGTTGTAACTTCAATTTTGTTTACACTTTTGGTACATGTACTAATCACACCATTTACATTTTTTTATCATAAGAAATGAATAGTTAAAAGTTGGAATGTTTTCTTTTTTTTTTGTTTTGTTGTTTCCCTGTACACAAAATGGTTTTTAAAAAACAATAGGCATATAACTACTGCAGAAAGGAAAACAGCACCTCTGGGGCTTACTGACTTGGTCAGTTGAAAGAAACTGATTTCTGTTGCACGAAAAAAGGGGCCTGCGATATGAATAGTGAGGAGGTTACAATTCGTGAGAAGATAATGGAGGGAAAGGAAAAAGCCAAAAAGCTCACAAACGGAGAAGTATGAAAGAAAAGACGAAAACGCACGTTTTACGACGCGCCTACGGGCCAACAAGCAGAGAATGATGGGAATCACGCCTATGATCAGGCTGAAGGGGCAGGCGGGGAAGCCTTCACCCCAAGTATGTAAGTACATAATACATACATATACATCCCCGCGTGTGTATGGCTTTACTTTCGCACAATGCGACTGCATTTTAAAATGCAGAAATTAAATGTTGTCAATCCGTTCCGGATTAAAATGACTGTTTTTAAATAGAGTTAAAAAATTGTTAACATTAGTCATACATCAAAAAAAAAAAAAAAAATTCCTTTTTTTTGAATTACTCCAAAAGGAAAAAAGACACCTCTTTGCAACACAGACAAATGGAAATATAAAACATGGAGCTACATGAAAGGCGCGTTTAAACAAAAGATAATTTCTACAATAGCAGAGTGTACTGAAAATAATGTACAACTGAATGGAACCAATCCCTTTTTTTTTTTTTTCAGTTAACCCTGAATATAGAACATCTCTGAAACTATATGTCGATTACTTTCGTCAGAATTTTTTGGAAAACATCTTGTTATCATGCGTGGATAAAAGGAAAAGTAAAAGAGTTATCTGCGATTCGTCGCATGTTTGTTCGAGTGACCCACCGTAGTCTTGTCTCCTAGCACCAAGCCACATTTTGTTCACCTCCATCCTTGAACCTACACACCATAGCAAACATCATTTTCCATTTTTCTCACCTCAATTGATACCCAATGGTGATATCTTCGTTATTCGTCTTCTTTTTTTTTTCTTATCAAAGGAATAAGTGAAGGTCCCCAAATATATCGACTATAGCAACCTATGATGAATCTAAAGAGGTGCCGTCTTCCCGACACAATTGACACTTCGGTTTGAATGCACCCTTATTTACATTTCTTTCTTTTTTCCTCATGCGTTAAAAACAACCTTGCTTTTACGGACGCATTTCTTTTCTTTTTTTTTTTTAAAACAAGAAATTTATATTATTCCTTTCCATTTGAACTGAAAAACTTTGCACTAGGTTGTATCTTCAAATGGTGGATTCTTTTAAGAAGCGAAATTTAGAAGCTGGTGGGATCATCTTCTGCACACGCACTTATTTACACCGATTTTATCATATTTCTTCTACGGCATTCTACTGAAGAATTTTTCTGCAAAATTTTTCCCCCCAATTTGACTGCCGCATTATTTCAGGATTTTTAAATGTTGTACACAAATTAGCTGTTTTCCTTTCCTATAAGAATTACTTGATGTTTCTTTCTTTTTCCTTTTTCCCTTGATTGATTTATTCTAGGATAATCCAATTCAGATCGACGAAGAAGTGCCCATATAAGGATTAACTTCGCGATATAACTTTACACACTTTTGTGACTGAACAACGGAAAAGGAAACGTTGGCACTTTACAGGTGGACAGATATGTTAATATGAAGAATTCATTATTTTCACCTTCCCATGAGGGTGTTACCCTTTTGGCAAGCGACTTAGACAGAATCTTCTGTATCTTGCTCTGCGCTATCTGTTCGTTTTTTCCTTCAAATTATGATTGCAGAAATAATTCTTGCGTGCGTTATGTTCCTCGTGTGTGTAACCAGAATGACCTGTGGTTCAAAATGGGGTCCTTACACGTTACCTCTTTGCACGGGAAGCATTTATCTGTACAGAGATGATATACACAAGACTGAACTATCCATATGGATTTGTCCATCTCCGCGATCTCTAACAGTGTCGGGGGAAATCAACGACATCTTACAGGGTCACGGATGCTGATCTGTGGAAAAAAATCGAATTCGGATACACTCCGATAGAATTCGTCCTTCCTCTGGGCATTCCATGGCGTGCATCTATACGCCAGTTTCCCAGGAATCAATGCCTTTATCTAGTATATAAAAAAACCCGGGGGAACCAATCTGAATTTTCAAGCAATCGCTATCATATCCGGGGTTAAACTTACAGCCTATAGTTCCATACAAAAACTGCCAATAATGTATTCCACCTTTTTTTTCGAACATTCATTTATACAGACGCACAATTTGTAGGGATAATGGCTTGGCATCTCGTGGGAAATAGCATATACAAAACCTGTTGCGGATATTTGCCACTTTCCATTTTCTGCTTCCATCCTTTTTATCAATTATGTACTTTCCGCGAAAAAAAATAAACATAGAAAGCTAGCTACTTCACCATAATACTTCACTGTGTGACGTGTTAAAGCACAAAGACTTCATGTCAGCATCACCGATACTTCCTGACAGCATCACCGATACTTCCTGACAGCATCACCGATACTTCATGAGAGCATCACCGATACTTCATGAGAGCATCACCGATACTTCCTGACAGCATCACCGATACTTTCTGACAGCAGCACCGATACTTCATGTACGCGGAAGCGATACTTCATGTCGACGGAAGCGATACTTCATGTACGCGGAAGCGATACTTCATGTCCACGGAAGCGATACTTCATGTACGCGGAAGCGATACTTCATGCCCACGGCAGCGATACTTCATGTCCGCGGCAGCGATACTTCATGTCCACGGCAGCGATACTTCATGTCCACGGCAGCGATACCTCATGTCCGCGGCAGCGATACTTCATGTCAGCGGCAGCGATACTTCATGCTATCGGTGCACACGATATATGATTATTAACTCACATAGTGATGTTCATCATGTGTTAGAAAAACTTATGTGACTTCTTAAAATGTGGTCATTTCTCAATCATTACAAAAACCTCCTACATCTCTGAAGCCGGTCTCATGGGACCTGACAGTCAACTTCATATCCCGTGTTGTTATATCCCTTTGCTATCGAAATGCTTCTTTTTCATTCATGTTAATAGCATTTTCATTTAACATAATTCATCTTATCCATTCACGTATTCTACAGTATCAACACAGCGCGTAGGTACTCATGTAGAAAGCGCTGAACATATTCAAAAAAAATCAGTAAAATCAGCCTGCAAAAGCTTCAATTCTCTACTTAGCTGCATCTACTTTGTACTACAAGCTAGCACATCTGTTATGTTTACGCTTTGGAGTATTTTATTTTCCTTCAGGGGCAGCTAATGCATTGTCAATTTTTTTGGCGTGCTGTATACTTCTTCAATAGATTGCCCACCTTGTTCCGTGCCTAGATTGGCTCGTTTCTTGATTGGCTTGTTCCTTGATTGGTTCGTTCCTTAATTGCTTCGTTCCTTGAGTGCTTCTTTCATCGATTGTGTAATCACGAGGGCACATAATTGTGCAAGGATCTACGTACGCAAACAAGGACCTCTAAAATGAGTAATTCGCCGTTGTCTACGGGGGCATACCCCTCTGTGTTGGGCCTCATGCGTTCTCGTACTACCGAAAACGCTGACAACGCGTGGGAAAAAAACAAGCAACAAAGCGAAAGATATGTAGAAATAAATCACGAAAAAAAAAGAGCACTTCTTGGGGATCAAAATGGTAAATCCCTCTGGGCTGGCGAGAACAGAAACAACCTGAGTTGTAACGGGGTGAAATACAACTACTCGCCTAGCTCAAATATGGACACTATCGGATACATGAAAGCCGACGCTCCATTTAACATGAAAGTGTGTGTTGCGACTGGGGAAAGTACTGAGAATGAGCACGCCCATGTAGGGAAATATGTGGAGGACACTCTGGAGGCATTGGCAGGGAACTACATGCATACAAATGACGACACAAATGAAGAGACAAATATGGGCACCAATGATGACACAAATGAGGAGACAAATGAAGAGACAAATATGGGCACCAATGATGACACAAATGATGACACGAACACGGACATTAATGCGGAAGATATTGTGGGGGGTAGCCTTGAAACACACAAACAGGCATGCTCGGGGAAAACGCCTAACATACGCGACGGACAGCAGTATGCGAGGGGGTTCTCAACACTCGGCAGGACGTTCGGGGAGGACGCGGAAAATTGCAATTTTCCTCTCATCCGAGATTTCGACACGGACCACGGCGTGGACTACGGGGCGAGCTACGGGACTAATTACAACATGAACTGTGGAACGAACTGTGGATCAAACTACGGAACGAGCTGCGGGATGAACTACGCAAATAACTGTGCAAATAATTATGCAACGAGGCACGGGACGAACCTCAGCACAAACTTCAGCACAAACTATGGAACGAACTACGCAACCAGCTACGGAACAAACTACGCAACAAACTACGGAACTAATTACGCAACAAACTATCCAACAAACTACGGAACGAACTATGGAACAAACTACAACACAAACTATGGAAGGCGGTTGCTCCCCACCCCTTCCCAGAGCTTCAGCCCCAGCGCAAAAAATGTGCCATTTCACGAAAGGGGATTGCTGAGGACACCTCCCGCTGGCATGTACACATTTTTTCGGCCCAACAAAAAATACGAACTCTTGAAGTACCCTAATCAAATAAAAAAAGGAGTGAAGAAAAACTGTGCAATAAATGAAAAATATCATAAAGCAAAAAATGAGTACGCATCAAACACAGGAGATGTTCCTCCTTTTAAAAGCTCAAATAAGTACGCTTCATGCAATTGCCCAATTCTCCATCAGAATATGAACACAAACAAAAAGGAAAATGAGTGCACCGATATAAAGCAAATACACAGCGATTTTATTTATTTAATTATAAAATATCTATACTATGAAAGAATTCTACCGGAAGCAAATGAGATAAAAAGGAAAATAAGCAAGTACTTCCCAGACTGTGCGGTGCTGAATACAAATTTCGTAAACATATGTAGAGAAGATATCAATCAGAGATTTTTAATATGCAAGATAAATTCACACGAAGAAGAAGATGAAGAAGAAGAAGACAAAAGAGAAAAAGGATATTTTAAGAAAACATTCAATAACGAAAATATCTGCATATACCTCAGAGATATATCCAAAGATTTCTTTATAAATCCCAATGACGATACTGAAAGCGTCTTGCAGTACATCCCTCTCTTGTTCATTCATATTATTGACAGGTTCAGATTACAGTCCAGTAAGTGCAAGAAAAGAAGCTGTTGTTTCATTTCTCTTCTGTGTGATTGATTTTGTTATATGTGCAACTCGGAGTTGGGACAGGACAGAGTTGAATCCGTATTGACATCATGTTCCCTTTTCATTCTTGGTGCGTTTTAATTGGGAAGGCATCCTCTCGAATTCGTTGAGAGAACATTCCCAAGTATATGTCTTGCTCTGTCGTTACTTACATTTAGATTTCCTTTCCTTTGAGCCATTTTTATTTCGATGCATAATATATATCTACATTTATATGTGCATATATTTCATTGTTGGGCCCGCAAGTCCGCTTAAATTCAGTAAAACTGCTGCTTTACTGCACCACAGTACAACGTTGATATAGCTTTTGTTTTTTTGTTTTTTTTTGCTTTCTTTTGCTACTTGTGTGAAATTCTAGCTAGTGAGCCGAAGTGCACATCTAAACTAAGTACATGTCTGCACGACATAATGTGAGTAACGAGACAATGACGCCTTCACGCCCTGATTAGTGCTTTGTCAGGTTCTATGGGGCTCGCTGCACGTTAGTGTGTGCATATCTCTTCGTGCCACTGCATCATATATGGTTGTGCGCGCCTGTTTTTACCTGCATGTTGCATAGTACGCATCTGTTTACTTGTTTGTCCCTACACATTGGCACACGTCTCTTTTCACAGACATTATCACATGTCTCTTTTCACACACCTTCACACGTCTATTTTCACATGTTTGCACACTCATGTCTCCATTTTTGTTCGAACCTTTGTTCCTACATTTGTTCGCTCTGCTATCCCGACATTTTTCTCACAGTCCTGGCCCCCTATGTTTTCACTCTTCTGTCCTCAGATTGCCTACATGTCTTTTGCTGCCCATTTTAACACTTCCTTTTTCTGCCCATTTTATCACTTCCTTTTTCTGCCTATTTTCACACTTCCCTTACCGCATCTCTCCCCGCAGGTGACAATAATCACAAAGGAGGGAGATACATCTTGGCCGAAACTCTAAAACACACGGGCCCATACATTTTCAGGACGATGAAGTTAGGAAGAATCATACACATACTCCAAAAATGCATCGACCTGAACATCCTCTCCTACTACAACAATAATATTATTCCCATATTTACCTCGATGGCCATTTCAAAAACGTATGTTTCCAAAATGCTGGTTAATGAGACTCCCGATTCAAAGAATCACAAGGAAAACTCCATAACTATCATAAAGGATAGGATCTATCGCCTTCTGCATAGCTACTCAGAGGACAAAACAAAGGGAAAAGGTAATGCAGGCATAAAAACAGAAACAAAAGCGCGAATAAATGTGATGAAATGAATACAAATGATGTGTGCGTATAAACGTATCATCGTAAAAGTGTGTGTGCATTCACGTGTGTATACAACGTTCCCGGCCCCTCCGGATATCTTCACCATACACTTAGAGCCTGTGAGGGTGCCAGGAGGAAATGTTATCGTGAGCAAGTTCATCAGTAGTAGGAGTATAGTAGCCCAGCAGTAGTAGTAGTAGCCGTAGTAGTGGCAGTAGTTGTAGCAGTAGTAACCGCAGTAGGAGTAGAGTAGCCCAGGAGTAGTAGTAGTAGCAACAGGCGCAGCAGCCGTGTGGCATCAACGCCACAGTGCTTTAAACGCGCTGAAAGTAGGGGCCCATTAAGGGCATACTAACGAGATTCAATTAGAGCAGTTAAAGAAGTAGTATGAATGAGAAAATTGGCTCTTCTCCATCTCAATGCGAAACATACATTTTTGACTAGTTAGGCACAAATACAGGCATCTCCGACGTGTGTAAAAAAGAAAAATACCATGTGTTTTCTTTTTTTCTTTTTCATTATCCTCAAGGTTTTTCCCTCAGTCGGTTACCCCTCATTTATAAAAACGTGTACAAAGAAAGCATAAATATCGATCAAATAGGATACTCCAAGCTAACCGAATTTATCAATAACGAGCTAAGCGATATATGCTTTATTTCCACTCAGCATAAGTTCCAATGCATCCTGATGCCCCTTATGGAAAATGTAAATGAAAAAAAGAGATAGGAAAATTAATCCACTGCTATGTCGATCCACTGCTATATCCCACTTGCATGCACCTCCCCGATGTATACCCCCTCATCGCACACCTCCCGTAGGAGCAAAAACACCGAGATAAAAATGCAAAACTAAAAAAGGAAAAACAGTTAAAAGAATCCCTGGACTACATAAAGAATTACCAGTGGGAAAGATGCATATCGTATTTACACTTTGCAAATTATTTCAGAAACAGGAAGAGGGAAACCCAAGTGAAGGGGCCAGCTCCCAATGACCCCATAGAACAACTAATAAACAACAGCTTTCTCATTAAGCATAAGAATTACCTTGATCGCACTTTAAAAAACAGTTCCGATGAAAACGTCCCATTGCTATTGCCCTTGGACGTTTTCAATTTGCCCTCGTCGTATGATATGTACGATGCCTACCATAAGTCAGAAACCTATTACAGTACAAATCCTACGGAAGATAATTCGGTCATCAAATGTATAGATAATATGCAAAGCAAATGCAGCATCTTATATGATCTTAAAAAATGTGTATCCTTGGATATTTCCATTGAAGACTCCGTAAATGTTAACCACATGTATCATAACTACCCATCTTCATATAATGTGTTTCACTCTCTTTTTAAGGAGACCTTAGAAGAGATTCCCATTGTTGACCAGCATCGAATGCAAATTTAACGATTATACTTGTAGCTTACAATATGTGACACCTTCGTGCCACAGGATAGAACGGACGATCTTTCTCATGTACCGAAGGGGGCAAATGCTAGGCTCAACCGCCGTTACAGAAGGGGGTAAATAAATAAGGAACCCCTTTGAGGATTGAAAATTTGAAAAATTCAACCCCATCCCCACCAATAGTACACCCCTGTTGCAGCAATGTCTTTTTTTTTTATATGCACACTTGTAACCGCACATGATGTAGGTACAAATCTGTGGCTACTTTTTTTTGTTTTTTTTTTTTTACCCTTTCCCTATGTGAGCTACGCACTTTCCCCCTCATTCAATAAAAAGAAAAAAAAAACTAGTTATATTTTCTCATAGAAGCAATTTGATCAATCCTATATTTTACAGTCAACATGTATATATGCCCACGTAATTTTGCGAGGGAGGTGGTAATTCATTGGGCAACCACAACATAAAGGGGAGCAATATAAATGTTGGCATCCGCCCCATTAAAACCAAATGGAAAAAGAAAAATATGGGGCTACTTCCGAAATGGGAAAAATTTGCGGTTTTCATCATTTCGGGATATCTAGCCAGCATGTGATCGATTGGAAAATGTGGAGACAAGAATAGGACAGCCCCTTCCCTTACTGCGCACTTCATTTTGCGTTATCAGCTTTGCTTAGGCTGGAACAAAGGGGGGGATCGAAAAATGCGATTCGTCGACTCCCATTTTTTACGAGTTCCTCGTATGTATTTTTTTCTGTTTGTTGTTTTTTTTTTTTTAAACCTTTCCGCCTGCTATTCATTCGCAAGTGTTACGTCATTACTTGGGATGATATTTAAAATTCAGCTTCCCATATACGGCGTCTGAATTTAATTCAGATCAGCTTGGCACAACGTGGCTTCACTTAATCCATTTGGAGCGGCACGTACTTAAGCTTATCCAGACAGAGTTCTTCACCTTTTTGATGCGAAACGGTGACACTAAAGTGTGAGCAAATTCCAGGGGCTAATTACCCACAGTTAAAATGGAAAGAGTGGAGCATACTTTCCGAGGGTCCTCTCAATTGGGGGGGGAAGGTATGCTTCCACCCTTTGTAAGATGCCCCAAAACGTGTTAATGTTTGTGCCCCAATACATGGCAGCATGCTATCTTATTTCACGAACAGAAAAAAATTGTTGCATTTTATACGTCAACCGCGGGGTGGAAATAGCAACACAGGGTGGTGGGCATACACCCCTAAGGTGTAAGCGGATCTGCAAATTGCGTTTTGCATCCCCTGTGTCAATATACACACAGAAAGGGAAGTATCCATCCATGAGGGAAGAACCCATCCATGTAGTGTGTCCCACGTGCGTACCTCCAGTGCGATTGTTCCGCTTCCCCTCCCCTTGCTAATCACACTGGGTCAATATCTCAGCACCATTCTGCTGCACCAGAATGGTGTGTTCCCATTGCGAACAAAACGCATTGTCGTTAGTACAAACTGTCCACTGATCCTTCCATGTATGGATATTTCTACTTCCTTCCGATAGGATGGGCTCGATTGTGAATATCTGTCCCACTTGCATATGCTCATCGTCAGGATGGCCATTCGGATAATGATGTTCAATCAAAGGGTACATGTGCATATTTCGGCCAATGAAATGTCCACAGAATTCTTGTATCACGTTAAATCCATTTTTCTCTGCATGCTCAGTTATGACTCGTCCAATTTCAGAGAATTTTTGACCATGTCTACACACAGAAATGGCTTTGTAAAGGCATTCTTTGCTGACATCAACTAACTTTTGGTGCTTCCTCGAGATGGTGCCTATGCCGGTGGTCCCGGCACAGTCTCCGAACACCCCATCGACATAGACTGTGCAGTCGTACGTTATGATGTCACCGTCTTTTAGTTTCCTCAAGTTGGGGATTCCGTGGCAGACCACTGCAGGGGGGGGTAATGGCGAAGAAGCGACGGTTGCCGAAGTTGTTTATCCACTTTGGTGCAACTCTTTAGAGAAGTTAGTGCAACTTTTTTGCCAAATTGGTGCAGCTCTTTAGCCAAATTGGCACAATCGTTTATCCAGAATTGCCCCGCACATAGCTGAACCAAATGTGATCGCACGAAAGGGGCAGTACCTTCGTTCGGAGAGGCGCAAACTGTTTTGGGAAAGCCGTGGAAGTTGATGCCAGCCGGGTACACACCCTTTTTTATGTAAAAATTGAAGGCCATTTTGTCTATGTCATCTGTTGTTACCCCTTCCTTTGAATTTTCTAAACAAAGCTTCAAACACTGGGCTGCAATTTTGGCAGCCTCTTTCATTTTAGCGATACTTTCTTCATCCTTAATTTCGTACTTGATATCTGAATATTTGACAAACCCAGTTTCAGCGTAGGTGGGTCGGATGATGTGCCCAGGGACGCTTTGCATCGGCGTTATTTCGTATTTGCCTTGAAAGAGGAAAAAAATTGTATTCAGTTCATAAGGTTAGTTTCGTTTAAATTTTTGTGCCCGAATTGGGCGCCCATTCTTGGGGTGACTATTTTTTGCGAGTGTGGGAGAGCACTTTGGACAAATAAATGGGCATGTATCGTAGCGCGGCGTAAGGAGGCATAGCTCGTTTTGTCCCTCTCAGGAGGAAGAACGGTTGGGCACAGATATAACCCATGGCGTAGATGTCACCGTGTGGGAGGGGCAAGTTGGGACAAGGCAAAAATGAAATGCAGTTAACAGTTAAAACTTTGTAAAGACTGAATTCGCATTCCATTTGGCAACAGATCGTGGCGTCAAAACCGCGTGGACTGCATTCTTTCCACATGTTACAATGGGAACATTTTTTTAAAAAGAAGAGGTGCATGTCTATCACAAAGGGTGGTTCCGAATTAGAAATTCACATTATGGGGCGAAGAGAGATAAACTAGTAAAGTTGCGCAAAGGTGAAAGTTTTACTAAAGAGGAATAAATATGACTTGCCCCTAGATGGAGCCGTTTCATTCGTTGCGGGCGGCTGTGCCCTTTTCTACTTCCTCTTGCTGTGGCGAAGGGAGCCACATTACGAGCATAACGAGCGTAGCCAAATGGACGTATGTGGGTACGTGCGTATACTTACAAAACTAATGGGGGTAGCCTCCCTAGGACGTTGTACCTACATTTATAACGCCCTTGGCAAGGGGGTTAAAACTTCTCTCCTCGCAAGACATGGTTATTTTTTTGCCACATTTTTTGCCCATTTTTTCGCCCATTTTTTTGCCTCATTTTTTTTAGTTACCATCCTGTAGTGTTGGCTTGAAGGAACTCTTCTCCGGAACCTTAATTTTGTTTATTTTTGGAGTTAAGACATGGGTATGGAAATTAGGATCCCTCTTTCGTAAGGCAGGTAAAAATTTACGCATGGTAAACTTTTTTGTTAACACAGGAATTAATAAAAATGTACTTACATTTCTTTAGGGGAATTTTTCCCTCATTGTTTCCTTTTTTTTTTTTTTTTTTCTATCTCCTATGTAAATGATCAGATTATGTTGTTCAAGAGCACAAGGGAAAAAAATACAAAAGGAGCATAAATAGGTATACGTTACATGTCTGGTTGTTGAGAAAATTGCATTCGGTTGTTTTTTTCTCTTTTAACGAAATCTACGAATGGGTTTAAGAAAAAAAAACATCGCATTTTGACGAACATATTGCAACGAAACAGTGAATGATGAAGGACGAAAAAACGAGAAAAATATATTACTGGATTTGTTACCATCGGTAAAGGGGCACCCGTTTTTGTACGTAAAAAAAAATAAAATATGCAATAGGTATATAAGTAGGCATAGAATATATTATACTTTTTTTCCAATTCTTACAAAACGGGGTAAAAAAAAGAAAAAAAACACGTTTCTTCTCCAATCCAACGGCCACTCCTCCAGAAAAAAGGAGGTTACGCGCCATCCATAATATATAATATAATCTATGTAATACTTGTGTGTACATATACGCGTATTATATACATCTTTCCAGCACGAAGAGCCCCTTTTTCTTTCAACAAGTGAACCATTTTATATTTAAAAAAAATAAATTTTCAAAAACAAACCTCTTAACCTTTGCAATATAATGTACTTATAATTGTACAAACTTAAATACGATAATCATAACCTTGTAATGTTTTATCAAATTCAATTATTTAATTTAAAAAATTTCAGTTTTGTTAAATTGTTACAAAACGTTAATTCAATTTTTTATACAAGAAAAAGAAAATTTTTTTGCTCTAAGTTTGCCGTCAAGTTTTCCATCAAGTTTGCCATCAGTTTGACACAAAATTTCCTTTACCCGTTTTAATGACTTCCATCAAAGGGCAGCCTTTCGATTCGCTTGGTTTATTGAAAACAATATTCTTTCAATTCTTCGAAGAAAACGTTTTCGTTTCTGTGCCTCGAAAATTTATGTTCATTCTGTATAATGATAACCATGTGTTAAAGAGAACTGATATAGAACTTAAGCTGACTACGTTGACCTACGCTGACCTACGCTGACCTACACTGAGAGGATTTATATACCCCTGCTCCTTAACAAGTTGGGTCACCAGAAAGGGGGGAAGCGTCGGTTTTTTTTCTTTGTAAGTCATGTTAGAGGCTCCAAAAAGTAGTTAACTCAAGCGCGCTTTGGCTAAAAACCAGCACAGAAAATATATATGTAGATTTGTATATAATATATGCGGAGAATTCTTCAGGGCCCACCCTTTTAGTGTTAAACTTCGTTACCCTTTGAAGTATTTCGCCATTTTTTTAAAACCCATCCTTCGTATTTGCCATAATACTGTTGTTACCATATGCACAGTGACAATTAGAAATCACGTCGAAACGAAGGGAAAACACCAGCGCTTAGTTATACTCACAAAAAATTAGATACACGAAATAGGAGCCACTTTTTCAGCAGAGTCCAAGCGTATTCATATTCATCCTTTTCATAGCAGCACGTCATATAGTAGTGTAACATAACATTACTCTTATAGTGTTGCAAAATAAAAGGCATATATACAAGTCATCCATAAATTACTGAACAGACACCCCTCCCCCCCAGCTAGTAATGCCTCAGGGAATACAAGCGATTTCAAATAATTATCAGTTTTGTATAAACGTACCCACCTTTTATTATGTTTTTAAAAGACAAAGATTTTTCAAACAAAAAAAGAAAGAAAAAAAGTTCTAGCAAAAACTAATTCTTTATCATTCTTTACTTTTTACACGGAGAAAACATAGTCAAAACGTAAAAAGCTGACGTAGATATTAAAACATTAAGTAGACCAACTAGGGACCATTTAAGGAAAACTCGGACCTTCGCACCATGATTATTTTTGAGTAATTTTATCATTTGTTCACTCGTGCGAGGAATATAGAAGAAAAGCCAACAAAATGGAAAGGAGAAGAACAGAGGAGGACTTCGCTCATCTTTGAAGGTTACATCATTTGGAGAAAAAAAACTGTGGCCGCAGCAAATTGCATTAAAGGGAAAACTCAGTGCATATTAGTATGTCTAATAGGGGACCTCAAGTGGGAGAAGAGGCGTATGTTAGTGTTGCCACATAAATTTTTTTTTTTTTTACAGCTTTTTTTTTTTTTATTTCTACTCCATTTCATCACATAGGTTTTAGGTAGTTAACGTTGTGTTGTCGTTGAGTTTCCATTGAGTTGACATCCTGTCGTTCTGTTGCCACTCCATTGTTATAACTTTTTTTCTCTGTATATTTTTGTATTATTCCGTATTTTTCTGTAATCTACCAATTCGGCAGGTCTAGTCGCGTGGATTTATCCTTTATGTCCACATATGTAGACGTATATATAGTTATATACGTACATACCACACGATTTCGTACCTGTGTATGGGCCTCACCGGAGTACCGTTATTATTGTGATGACGGTTTTAATGCATTAGCCCAGAGATACAGCGCCCCAATAGGGGTGTGGTTGTACTGCATGTATTTATATACATATCTAGGTTCAACCCGCGGGAGTAGGCCCCCTGCTACTGGAAAGGGCAGAAGCACCAGTTTATCCGTATACCATTTTGTTTCGACGCCCGTTTCTTTGTAAATCCGTTTGCCTTTTTCCTTTTGGTTGTGCGTGGTGCATACGTAAACTAGTATACAATGCGCACCCGATAACCTGCCTGCACATCGGCCGGCAATAAGGCACATATATAAGAAGACAAGGCGAAGCAACACGCCCAAAACACACTGGACGGACACTACTCCACCTTACGAAGGCACATGCTCCTCGATCACCCCCACCCCCCCTTATCACACGTCGTTCTTTTAAATGAATGAATTTTGTGTATTAAGAAAAGATGAAGAAAAAATATACTTTGGGGAGTAACTCAGATTTTACAGGGTCAGATAAATCAACAGAAATATATATACAGGAGGAATCCAATAACGATGACGAAATAATTTTTAACAACTTGGACAAAATCCATGAGGAGAGAGAATTAGACGAAGACATCATTTGTGTTTATGGAAATGCTTTTAAAAATGAGGAAGAAATAATAAGTGGTGGAGGGTACAACGCGGAAGATAAGTGTGTCCAAGTTTGTATCCTGAATCTTAATCAAGTTAAATTGAAATCGGTGCTTCGTTTTATAGCTGATTGCTGCTCATTTCTCTGTGCCGTAGGGATTTGGGGGATTTTAGAAGAGGTTTTACGTATACTGTCGGATGATAATCATTATGTGAAGCTGTATTATTACATAATTTGTACCATTTTGTTTACTTCCTTCGCGTGCACTTTTAATTTGTACCTCTTGAAACGGGAGCAGAAGAGTGGCTACATGTGTGAGGACTTGGAATGCCCTGCGTGACTACGGAGAGGGGAGTCGTACGCACAAAAATGAATCCACATGGATGACGGAAGGTGCATGGAAAAAGGAATAAAACGATCGAACGAGGCTGGAAAAAGGGACCCCTGCTACTGGCCTTCCCACCATATTAATGACGACTTTTGTGGCCTACTTATCAGGGGTAATGTCCATGTAGGTACTTATGTAGGTGTATGGGAGGACATATATACCTACTACATTTGTATATTATTGTACCTTTTTATGGGCGCGCATAAGACTTGTATTTTGACCACAATTTTTAGATGATTATTCACCGCATTAATGTTCTTTTAACTAACGTTTTTTTAACACCTGTGCTGCGCCCAGCTCTTTTGTGATACCCTTGATGTAATTCACCATTTTTACATTTCCCTTTTTTTTTTCGTTGCTCCATTCGTTTATACGTCTGGGCGTACGGGAACTTATGGATATCTGATTATTTAGGTGCATGAATCAACTTTAACACTAAGGGATAAAAAGCCTTTCCGTAGGGGTCAAAAAATGTAAAAAGTTAAACGTGGAACGCGGTGAAGAAAGCCAGCGTAGCAGTCCTTCCCCCTACCGATTATGCCCAAATGTGCGTTCTTTAAAAGCGAAGGAACTCGTGGTGCGCGCGTACAATCAAATATGTTTAACAAAAGATGACCTCTCCCTTGAGTCATTTTTGTGAGAAGGCGCAAAGTAAATCGTCGCACAAAGGGTTACTCTGCTAATACGTTCAATTGTGCCTGCGAGCGGTATGCCCACGCGGAGAAATCTGACATCGGGTGGGGGGGATACAAATAGCTTAAAAATTGGTAAAAATTGATAAAAATGTGTTTTTCCAAAGCCGGTGAACATGGAATAATTTCCACTTAAAACATGAATGTGAAAGGGGTGTCGTTCAATTTCCTTGCTCTACACCTACAGGAACTATACCCTATGATGTGGTGTCCAAAATGTTCACCACTAGCCATGTGGAAATTACCACGGCTCCTTTGTTGAAACAGCTAGAATGCTGTTATGCCCCAATGGTAGGCCATTTCTTTTCCTCTCCAATTTAATAAAGGGTGGACAGTTTGGCAAAAATACGATAGAACGGGTGAAGAAGTTTCATGTAGGAACATAAACACGTCCGCGCGTAGGACAATATGTATAACTAAGTTGCGGTTTATGATCGGCCAACACATATTGTTCGCCTATTTACACAAGATAGAATGGTTGGGCATTCTTCCAAAAAATGGCTCTCTGGAAAAATTTAACTTTCTTCAAAGTGCGTCTTTGCTTTTTTAAAAAATTTGGCGGAACAGCATTTAATGTGTCGAATGAATTACCTTAAAATTCATTTTGAACATTCTATGGCGGTGAAAATCTCCCCCCTTAGTTCTTCCCCCATATGTCATGCTCCTCATTTAAACGCTCTCATAAAATATGAGCATGTTTGTATATACTTGTACATAATTAGATGTCCTTATTATGCCATGTGTTTGCCTATATTTTTGCTTATAAGATATGCGGCTGTAGCTCAGGGAACTTCAAACCTTTTTTTTGCTTCTGTGCATGAAAAATCATCCACCAAAAAAAGGAGAGGAAAAAATCCGTTCCTGTTTTTATAGACCAAAAGAACGAGGGAAAAAATTGGTTCCTATTTTTATAGACCAAAAAAATGAGAGAAAAAAATCCGATACTTTTTATAGGCCAAAAAAATATGGGTACAGCATCCGCTACTTGTTTTTATTGATAAAAAAAAGTGGATAAGAAAATTATTGTTCCCTTTTTAACTTTAAGTAACCTGTGGCATTATTGCATCCACGCAGTTTTAGGCTAAAAAGGTTAAGTACATATCTTCGGTAGAAAAAATCGGTGGCCATTTCGTCGTGTGATTGACCCCTGAAGGGAGTATTCTCTTAAGTACGTTCTCTATATGCATATCTACGCTTATGTACTTTTTAAGTGCAGGTCGTATTCCCCCTCGGCCTACATGCACTTAAACGCGCGTACTGCCACTTCGATGAAATAGGCGACGTACTCCACTTATTCTATCGCGCCACATAAAATTAAAAAAAAGAAAACAAAAAAAAAAAAGGCGCAGGAATAGCATATTTCCTTGTCGCAATTGCATTATCCCATTCTGCATATCGCAGTGGCATTATTTTATACTTCGGCAGTTAATTAAGAAATTTACTTCCATCCATTTATGTAACATTATATATACTCTCCTGTAAACTTGTTGGCAAAGTACATTTTTTCGTAGGCCCTTTTCGACTTCCAGCGATTTTTTACTCTTGCATTTGTGATACTTACCAGGTTTTGGAATTAACTCACTGATTGCAGAAAAAAAAAAGAAGCTCCCTTTTCAGCAGCTCATTTTGGCTTTTCCCCTTTGACGCGCCCACAACAATGGATGTTAACAAAAGTAGGAATTGAGAAAAACTTAGAGCGATATAGAAGTTGGCGAAATTGCGCATAAATGTGATGCTACAGATGGATATTTATGGGTACTATACCGCTTGTATGTATGGATGCATGTTTTTTTTTTTTTTCTCTAACCCCACATGGGTATGCGACAAAATGTATAGAGTGTACATACAGAATAAGAAACGAACGAGCCATGGAGGCCTACAGCAGGAAGGCAACATCGTGCCTCTTAGCCATTGCATAAAATGAAGGCCCTCTCGTGTTTCCCATGTTGTATGTTACGTGGCGGAGCTGCACGTATGGAAGCCTAGGTTCGTTTCCATGCCACGCTTAGGTAAACTTCTTGCCCCTCTGCTAACGTCGCTGCGCCGTTTCCTCTTCATCCCCCTCTTCCAGTTGAAGAGCTGAAGCACTTTGTGTCCCTGTGTAAGCAAGACCCGGCCATTTTGCAGAAGCCAGAGTTTTCCTTCTTTAAGGAATTTATCGAAAGCTGCGGTGGAAAGGTGCCAAAGGATAAGGACTTTTATGAACACATTCCAAGCGAAGATAGCACCGAGGAAAAGTCCTACAATGAAGACAAGGAAGAACAGGATGATGAAGACGAAGAGGAAGTAGAGGAAGAACAGGAGCAAGAGAAAGAAAATGATGAAGATTTAATGAAAGAAGAAACGATTGAATGTCCCCCTTTAGCTCCAACAATAGAAGGAGATTTATCCGAACAGGCGATTGAAGAAATCTGTAACTTGAAAGAAGAAGCTGTAAATTTAGTACAAGAAAATAATTTTGAAGAAGCCTTAGAAAAATACAATAAAATAATTTCCTATGGAAATCCATCCGCCATGATATACACAAAAAGGGCGTCCGTTTTGTTAAGTTTGAAAAGACCAAAAGCTTGCATACGAGATTGTACGGAGGCACTAAATTTGAACATTGACAGCGCCAATGCTTACAAAATTCGAGCGAAGGCATACAGATACCTGGGAAAATGGGAAAGTGCGCATGCTGATATTGAACAGGGACAGAAAATCGATTATGATGAAGATTTATGGGAAATGCAAAAACTGATTGAAGAAAAATATAAGAAGATTTATGAGAAGAGAAGGTACAAAATTAATAAGGAGGAAGAAAAGAAAAGAAAAGAAAGAGAAAAGGAATTGAAGAAAAGGTTGGCCGCTAAAAAGGCCGCAGAAAAGGCGTATAAGGATAACAGCAAGAGGGAAAACTACGACTCGGACTCCTCAGATTCGTCCTACAGCCAACCCGACTTTTCTGGCGATTTCCCGGGAGGAATGCCAGGTGGGTTAGGTGGCGGATTGGGAGGAGGGTTTCCCGGAGGAATGGATGGAGGGATGCCAGGCGGGATGGGAGCAGGATACCCAGGTGGATTTCCAGGCGGATTAGGAGGTGGCATGGGAGGAGGCATGCCCGCGGGATTAGGAGGAGGAATACCAGGTGGATTAGGTGGCGGATTAGGAGGAGGAATTCCTGGCGGATTGGGAGGCGGAATGCCCGGTGGCATGCCAGATTTAAATTCACCAGAAATGAAAGAGCTCTTCAGCAACCCCCAGTTTTACCAAATGATGCAAAACATGATGAGCAACCCCGAGTTACTGTCCAAGTATGCCAATGACCCAAAGTACAAGCACATATTTGACAACTTAAAAAATTCCGATTTAGGAAACATGGGCAAGCCCGGCGGCAACGGAAAAATCTGATTTTCCCTCAAGGCATTTTGCCCCCCCACGCGTATGAAAGCTGTTGACTATCTGCGCACGAGTGAGTACGTGGGTACATGTACATTATTTTACTTTATTGCAAATATGAGAAGCATCGCCTTCCCTTATAAAATTCACTTGGCTTAGCTTGCCTATGCTGTTCTGTGCTGTGCGCGCGTACTTTCGAAGTGCCATGCCCGACTGAATAGCACACCAAGTTGCATATCGGTTGAACAGCGTACCTAGCGTGCCCACTTGCCCCTATACGCGCCTGCTTAAGCACGTGGGCATGTATATAAGTACCTATGTCAACGGTGTGCCCCTGTTCCAGGGCATGTACAATATGACAAGCTGAGATTTACACGCTCTTTTTACCCACTCACACTTTTAGCTTATTCGTTTTTATAAAACCCCTTTTTTTCCACGCTGGAAAACTTGAATGAACGAAGCATAACAGTAAAAAAAAATAGGTGAAAAAAAAGGGAATAAGCAATTCCAGGTACAAAAGCGGCATGGACATTGGAAGGGAAAGAAAGTGTCAGAAAAACTCGAAAAACAGAAGCGCAAAAAAAAAAAGAAAAAAAATGGCTAATAAATTATACCATGCGCAAAGGTGAAGAAGCAGGCGGGCGCCCTGTTGGGAAGCGCAATAATAAGGCTTGTTGCAGGGAAGGGAAAAAATTTCAAACTTGGGAATAGTTCGCCATTATCTGGTGCTCCTTAAGCAACTTTCTTCAGAAGATTCCTGCGAAGAAAAAGGAAAACAGAGAATGTCAAGGGGGAATACACGTAAAAAAAAATGCTACAAAACCAATGCATGTCAGGGGGGGAGGACACTGGGGAATATGCCCCCCTTCGATATTAACATACACATCAACGTGCTTAGGCACATGTCCGTTTTGTCTCCACTTACGTGAATAATGTCTGTTGAGGGTCTTTCTTGTTCTTATTGTCGAAGGGGAAGTTTTCTTTGGCGTTTTCCTTGTTCTTCCTTTGTTGCGATTTTGGGCTTCTTTTCTTCTTAGATATGCTTCTGTGAACCACAACAAAGTAGCCATTTTCATAAACCATGTCTACACTTTCGTCCTGCCAGAAAGGGAAACATAAGTAAAAGAAAAATAAGAAAAGAAAAAATAGCACTTTCTGGTTAAGAGGCAGGATAGAAAATTTCTCACCTGGTTGGTATTTATAAACATGTGCAATTTTTTTTTTAAATTACCCAACTGCGTTAATCCCCTCTTGCGCTTCCTCTTCGGTCTAGACGATTTTGCTGGAAATTTTCTTTTTTGTTGATTCTGTATAGGGGAACAAAAATGGCAAATTAAAGTGCAGGTGGCGAAATGGGGATAAAAAATGATTGGGGTTGAATCCCGCAGGTGTGGGAAAAACAATCAATTTGTAATTTCATTTTTTTTTCTTTTTCCTTTTTACCCTCTTCCCAGAATTAGCCATCAAAATCGGGCCTCTTTATGTTCAGGTGATTATTTGACACTCCGAATGGAGGTGGGTGAAACAGCGAATGTTCCACATGGACGGAAATATGTGTACAAAAGAAGGTGGAACTTCTCTGACCGTGCAGTCGACTGTTGTACCAGCGCATGGGATACCTATTCATAACATTGTTACTTTCTTTTGCGAATTTTTATCTCCTCCTTTATGCACTGAAGTGTCAGTTTATTCTTTTTTTCATTATCAATCGGTGGACTCTACCGTCCAGTTTCATTTGCATCTCGTCATTTTGAAATTGTACCTTGGGCAAATCGTTCTTCTTTCTCCCTATTTTGGCTCAAAGGGGAGAAGAAGTTGCATTGGAATTTTTTTTTTGGGAAGGTTGGCCGCTCAAACTCGCGGTGAGCTCCACCAAAGACTGCGTAGATACACATACACACACGGACTTGTAAATTGTCTCGAGGGCGAAGGGGGAGTCTCTTCGTTGAAAAGGACGAACGCAATTTTCAAAACGAGTTAATCAGGATGCAACAAAAGGGGGTGGAAGACTTCAAGTAAATTTACCGGCACAATGGGTGGGAAGCGGTGCATATAAAAATTTCGAAAGGAAAAAAAGAACATGCTCGAATGGGATAATCTGTCTGTAAAGATGTGCGCCAATCAGAGGTGCAGATAAGGAAGCGAACAAAAAGAGTCAACATTCAATTTTTTCACTTTAGATTTCACGAAATGGAGTTATATTTATGTTAACATTCATATCGTGTAGTATTTCGTTTATTTAGGGTATAAGGCGTGTCACGTTCGTTTACTTCGAAATGGAAGGCAGCACTGTAGGGAAGAAAAAATGATTGAACAGAACAAAACAGAAAGAAACATAACGAAAAATAACAAAACGAAATACCAATCGTGTTAAAAAGAAGGAACGTTCGACAATTATTCAATTGTATTGCAAAAAAATACCTTTTTTTTTTTATTTGTTCTGCTAACGGTTGCATACACAACTGTTGCACATACACCAAGAGAAAAGTCTACCAGTGCGCTTGGACAAATTATTCAATTTTTGAAAGACGCATGACGAAATGCGTACACGGATGCACACATAACGTGTGTGGAATGATGGGAATTCGGAGGTGCCAATTGAGAGGTGGCATATCGGAGTGGAAAATATGTAGAAAATCGGAGGAAAATTAACAGCAGGATGACGGAGAAGCGTTCTTACTGCATGTGCAGAATTGTGCTCATTTCAGAAGCGCAGATGCGCCTATACGCGGGTGGACTGAGAAAAGTTCTCGGACGATACAACAAAAGGAGAAAATGTAACGATAGATGGGTGATCCAAGCAAATATAAATCATTAATTTTTTTTTTAAAATAAAAAAAAATGTCGGTTTTGTCCAAATAAAAGAGAGGAGCGATATCTTAAGATGTTCAACATTTCGGATATTATCTAAATTTTTTATCTCAATCTGCAGGCACGGTACTAAGACAATGTTAGCTATATTCCTAGGAATCTTCTAGATCTTTCTGAGACTTTTGCTAGGTATTGCTAGGACTTTGCTGGACATTGCTAGAACGATATGTATGCATTTGCAATGTTTGCTAATGTGCAGTCAGCTGCTCTCATTTTCTAGTTAGAAATTGCTATAAAACTTTTGCACTAATATTTTGTACCTTTTCTACCTTTTCTGACATTTGCCAGGGTTACTTACCATTGCTATAATTTATGCGCGCATGATGGCACACTGTGCATCCGGTTTTTCCTCGCAATGTGGGGCCCTCGAAATACAATTTCTGTAATTATTTTGACACTCTCCGGATTTTTTTGAAGTCCTGCTCCTTTATTGCTCAGTACAGAAAATATTTTTTTTTGGCGAAAATTACTTGTGCGAACTAAGTACATATATAGTTGTTGCGTACACTATAATATATGAATCCCACGTAGTCTAGATGGTTAGGATATTCGGCTTTCACCCGAACGACCCGGGTTCGAGTCCCGGCGTGGGAACAAAATAAATACCAGAGAAAAAAACATTTTTTAAAAAGAGAATTAGAAGATTTTTAAAATAATTTTATTAAAGCATATCTTTTTTAACAAAGTATACAATGTCGCGATTTAGAAAAAAGGAAAAGAAAAGAAGAAAGAAAAAATTGAAATTCAACAAATTTCAGCACATTTCAACAATTCTCACCACTTTCTAACTGCTAAAAATAAAAAAGTGAAAGAGTGCGAAAAAAGGAACAGAAATTAAGCGAAAAGTTGCCCATTTTTACGCCACAATTTCTAGTTAAGAAACAGGCAAACAATTTTGTTAACATAATATATGACTTTTTTTATGAAAGTGAGAGTTTAATATCGGGAAAGATAAGGAAGGGCGCCTGGTTATGCATTCGTTTTACCTTGTTACAAGAAGTCCTGCGTGTGAAAGTATACGTTTGTTTCACTCTTTTATTTACCGGCTGCCAAAATTGTAAACGCGCGAGGATGCGTACTTGGGCAGATAGATGACGATTTTCATTTTTAATTACCTTTTTTAAAAACGCATTTTATTGTTGCGTAAAAGTTATACCTTTTTAAGTTAATGTTGGTAACTTAGCATTTTATTCCGCCATCACCACCCGTTTGATCACCGAGCATTTAAGGAACTCCTTTGTAACGCTTTTACTACAAAACAAAAATGTAGATGGTGACTATCATATCAGTTTTGTATTGTAATATGTGCTGTGGGACGTAAAGGCCATTCCGATCTTCCTGATTGAGAAACTTCTCTTCGTCGTGTGTACGACGGGGCAGCTGTTGGCAGTGTAAAATATGAAAAGTAAAAAGGAAATGGTAGAGACGGGAAGCCGATCCATGCAACTAAATCCCTAATGCCAGATTTGTGTCGCACCTCATAGTTCAACTCAAAGTGGAGACATGAAAAAGTGAATAATCATCCAATAATTGAATTTGCTCAGTCCATGATCAAAACTTAACAATTGTTTCTTTTGCGAAATGAACTCTTCTGTCTTCCCAGTGTTTAGCGAAACACTTTGTGTCAAAATGGGGGAGGGGGAAAATAAAGAAGGGTCATTCGGTTGATTCATTCTTATGAGTAAAAATGCCCCCCACAACGTATGACATATAAATAGAAGTATGTGAATATTTTGTGCGCAGATGCCTTATGCAGATGTGGCTACATTTTATAGTACCATGAGAACATTTTTGCGCTCACAAAATAGGTGAAGGGAAAAAGAAGAAAAAAAGCTAAGAGCGGGCACGAGCTAGTCAATCTTTAACCGAAACTGCAATAAAGATTTCTACATATGCAATGAAATGATTTCTTATGATGTAACAACATTTTCAAAAGTCGTTCACAATTTAAAAAATGTGCACGAGGTGGGGTTCGAACCCACGCGGTCTAGTGACCAGAGGATCTTAAGTCCACCCCCTTAACCACTCGGGCACCCGTGCTCATAAAGGTATTTCTAAAAGAAATTCTAATTTATTTCGTGGTGCTTGCACCGAGAAATGGAGACCATACAGCCGCTTCGCATTTGCAAGAAAGAGAAAAAAAAAATTATTTCATCACTTTTTTTCAACAACTGTACATATAATTATTACCATTATATACGTTAAATAAATGCATCCATTAAATGTAAATGGGATCCTTCGATATATTTTTTACTGCAACTTTGGGTTCTACACGCATGGGTATTTTTTTTATAACTGCCTGCCACGTGCAGTGTTGGTTTTCTCCTTTCCTTCTCTTGTGAATCCATTCAGATATGAATGATTTGTTCGTTCGCGTATTTATTACGATTTTTTATAAAACTAACATTGGGTATTTGAAATGGCATCTTTTCTGGATCCACCAGAAGTTGAAGTGCGCAGTTCCAGTGATGCTCTTCAAATGGATATTTTTCTGAAAAGTCTTGAGAAAATAAAAATTTTTCTTTTTTAGTTTTTCTTTTTCAATTTCTGGTTATATTTTTGGTAGGTGAACGGAATTTTTTTTTTCATTTCATTTGAAATTTTTTTTTTTCCTTCTCGTTTGACTCAAAAGGGAACATTCGCAACTCTTGTCAGAGAATCCTTTACGCTTTTGGATACTTCTTAAAATGGCTATTTCTATGCAAGAGGCGATTCCCAATAGTTATAAAAATTGTATCCTGGACGATTGTGTGTGCAGATATCTGCTTCTCACGCAAATGTTGCCAGAGGTGCGTATAGTTACAGGAATTTATCAAAGGCATTCTGCCGCAGTAAAGGGGCATTATGCCCCCTATGGATAGCGTAGTAGGAAAAAAAAAAAAAAGCTTTCGTATTCCTGCACATGAACTTGCTTAGAAGACATTAATTCGATCCCTCCTGAACAGAGCAAAATGTCAATACGCTTATTGCACAGGGGATTCCTTCATTGGGGGTGTGGGTATCTTCAAGTTACACTGCATAGGATACATGGGGTTACCCCCCTGGAAATGGAATGCTGATTTGATAAGGCGTAAGTCATTAGGGAGAAATACGAAATGACAACCAACCTAGGGGGACGCAAATCAACTTGGATAGATCACCTCTTAAGCAGCGCAGCCATGTACTGCTTCACCAGTGGGTAAGAATGTGCAGACAAAATTGTACCTCTTGGAAGAAAAAAGAAAAAAGAAAAGAACTTTCCCCCATGGAATGGTAAACTGTTCGAATGCAATTCTATCAATATGTCGTCATAATTGTAAACTCCTTTCATCCATGCCACTGTTTTTAATTTTCATAA